GTGAGAGAGTGTTACTCGGGGGTTTGCAATTTCCGCCATTGGCTTTGTGTCAAGTCACTTCGCAAGCAGGCACACACCAACATGAGCACACACACACAGCGGGAAAGGATTGTAAAAGACACTAGGAAAAATAAATAGTTACTATCTTGAAGATATTTAACTAGGTATTCGAATTTCTTTACATTTTTAAATATTTTTTTATCCTTGGAAAAGTTCTAGTTATGTTGATAATACCACTACTCATGAAATAAGCAAAGACACTTTTATTTGGTGACTTATTTTAACTAAAATAAATTATTAAAAAATTTAAAAATATTATTAAGATTTTTATAATAAGTAAATTGTTTTTAATCCGGCGTAAATTATTATTTTGGTCCCTATTCTTTTACGGAACGGATCTAATTATAATAACTATTAATATAAATATTAATTTTTACAAACTTTTTGCCAATTTATTAATTTTAAAATTAACCACAGGTTTTAAAACCGACTAAAATATATTTTAATATCATTTTTATACTTATAATAATAAAACTAAGATATCCTAAACACATCCTATTTTTCCTGTGCACCTTTTAGCCTTATTTACATTTGAGTGCCTTCTTGATATTTCTAGGTCTTGCTACTGACCACAATGACAAAAAAGAAAAAGAGAAAAAAAATACAGCAAAAGGCAGACTATCCCAAATTCCCCGACTGTCAGTCTGTCGGACTAATTGCATTGTCGAGCTTTTTCGTTATTTTGCATGTAAAACAAATTCGTGTGGTGCATAATTTAAATATTTGGCCAGGCCAAATGAAAATTTAATGCCACAAGTTCTGCAGGAGGCTGTTGGGGATTGTGAATTGTGCTGCTGCTGCTGCTCCACTTCTTGTTTTTGTTTTGTTGTTTTTTTGGGCTATTTTAGGCCCAGCTGAATGTTTGTTATTTGCCCCCAAGGAAGGGCAATAATTTTGCCGTTCAATTAGGTTTAGGCAGCAACAAATGCGAAAAGTCAAGTTTCCTTTTTTTTTTTACGACTACTATAAACATAAAAGTTCTCCCCAAAGATAAACACACACACACGCATGCCCCACAATAAAATACAATCTGACACAGCCACGTGTGTGTGTGTGTTTGGCATAATAAGTTTTGATTTGCTTTTATTCGCTCTTTTGGACCATGGCACTCATATTTACCTTCTTGACACCTTAATGGACAAAGGCCACGCACACACACAGAACAGACAGAGCGAGAGAAAGCCAGGAAAATGAAATGAAAATGTTCAATTCACCTATGCCGTCAACGCATTTTGTTTATTTATCATTCATTTAAGGGCCAAAAGACAGAGAAAATGGGTAAGAAATCTTTCTCGGGGTTATCGAGATTCGGAATGCCCTGAAAGCAGGGTAAACCAAACTTTGCAAAGATTTCAGCCAGTCACTGGGTGCTTTGAAATTTTCTTTTTTACTTTTTGGAAAATGAATACTCTTACTAATAAAAATATATATTATTAAATTATAAATAGGTATGAAAATAGATTACTAGATTGTATAATATTTAAATTATTATTATTATTATATTTTTCTTGAATTTTTAACCTTATCTTTTAGTTTCTTCATTTTCTAATATTCAAATTCCATTGCTTGTTTAGTTTCCTTGAAAAATGTAATCATTAAAATACCATTTCAAAGTTCTTGGAAAAACTGGCCATACTTGGCACTCCCATACACAAAGAGTATCAAAGAGGAAATGGCCAAATGCCACGGTTGTCATTGGTTTGGCATTGGGTTATTGCCTTTGGTTTTTGGGGCCCAAAATACGCAGGCCTTTCTGGCAAGAACAGATGGCAAGCTGAGAACTGAGAATGGTAAACGGTGAGGTGGAAGATGGGACTTGGAAGCTGAAGTGAAAAGGATACATATATAGAAACCGAATGGAGGCAAGAAAAAGCTGCCATGTCATCAACATAATGACGGTGCAGACAAGTTGAATATGTTTCTTGGGCTGAGACCCAGTCTCCTTGTTGTTGTTGTTGTTGCTGACCTGCCCTTTGCCGATTTGCTGTGCGGGCGCCACGCTGCGTATACTTGTTCTGACATTGATCGAATCGCATTGCCTACTTTTTGGGGCCATTCGAAATAAAACCCAGGCTGGGCTTCTGCCTCCTGGCGGCTGTCAGTCCAGCTTTTCCCGAACGCTTGGCTGCGCACTTTAGCTTCTGTCATTGGCTGTCAGTTGGAGTCCAATTCATTTCTCTTCAACTCATGCCATTATACCCCCCCCTGTCCAAGCTTTGTGCAATTGCAACTTTTGTAGAAGCAAAAAAAAAAGGGAGGAAAATATGGGAAATAAGAGACGGTTTTAAGCGTAATGCAATTGACACATTAAATGAGCTTGCCACAATTGAATCAGCAGCAGAACAGACTCACTCTACCGCATTAAATATTCCTTTCATTCTTTTAATACGAGATTTAGCTTTATTTTTTCGCTCTGAATCGACTCAACGAACTGTGAATAGTTATTGACGAGAATTACGGCATTAAGTGCCATGCAAATTTGCAAAAATTCCACATTTAATGTTATTAAAATATTTATGGGGCGCATTTTATAGATTTTCCCGAGCGCTGAAAATATTTGCCAGTCATAAATATTGACAAATGAAAACCCAAAAGAAAATATATATTTTCTTTGTCATATAAACAAAATGGTTGCGTTTGGTTTCTCTTTTTTTTATTGTATATTCTCTGTATCCCCTTGATAACGACGCGCATTCAGGCGATCCAAACTGTCAATATATATATATATGCATTTATATATATTGATTTATGGGCTAGGAGGGTTCGCTGTTTTTGTCATCTGCTCACCCGAAAAGGCGGCACAACTATTTTGAATGCCACAATTTGTCACAGTACAAAAATAAAACGTGGTGAGAGGATTGCCCACTGCAATTCAATTTAACGTTTTTGCCAAATTGTTGCCATTTTAAAATATGAAACAAGCCAGGCGTGCCAGCCAGAAAATACAAAAACCGAGATAAAAATAATATATATATAGAAACAGACCAAAAGCTGGCACAACATTTTTCCCTATGGAATATTTTGCACGTTTTTCAGCCGGAAAATCGTTTCGGGCCATGCCCATGAATGTGGGATAGTTGCTGTCTGCCAAAAACGAGGGGGAATTTTTCAATTAATAAAACAGTGAGTAGGGAAAACAGCTTTGTATCCTTTCTGGTGAAGGAAAACAAGGAAATCTATCAATAGCACACAGGCAGACTTGCAAAACCCAGGGGCAACAAGCCGGCACATTGCATATAAATAAAGTATAAGGCGAAAGGTTTTAATGGAAAAAAATAAACAAAAACGGTTGCCTTTACGAAAACTTTAGAGTTTATCTCCAGCGGTTATTCACACCTATGAGTGTGTATGGCTTGGGATTTACCCCAACCACGAGTCAGCCAGGAAGAGGAGCAGTCAGTGGCAACCACAACTCAACTCGCTCCTCAGGATGAATGACAGCGCCAGGCTGAGTTGACAGCCCGCCAAAAACTTAATGCCAGGAGAAGCGAGACTGGTCCCTGTCTCTCCTGCTTTTCACAACTTTCGACTCGCCAAGTTGGCGCATTTTGCGGGGTTTTTTAGGTTTTGCTAATCTGCAAAAAACAGCAACGCCCAGGCCAAGCCCCAGCATCCCGAACAAAGATAACTTAATTCGCTTTACTGTGTTTGGCTTGCGAAAAAGTGCAGCTAAATGAAAATGTTATGCCAAACTTTTCGACTCGCTTGGCTTATGGAGGGGAAAGATTTAGACGTCGCTCAACTCCTAAATAAAGAAGGAAATGAGCTAAAAATTGTATGGATCACAGGAGCTGGCAAGAATTTCTAGATTTCTTTTACTAATGAACTAAAGTAAAAAGGGGATAAGGATGATTAGAAAAGTCTGTAGAAAGTTGTATACGATTTTTGCAGTAAAGTCTGGGGAAATATGCTTTAAAGTTTGTTAAGAAAGTGTGGAGTTTTTAATTAAGAAACTCTTGATTATCAATGAATTCAATTAATTTAATATTAATGAACTTAAATTCTGTTTGCCTTCAAATAAAAATTGGAAAATAAAATACCTGAAAAAAGGTAATGAATTTTTATAGACAAAAAACGTAGCCACACATATAATGAACAAAAATCTATGGATCTGGAGTATATACCTCGAGTTTTTCACTTGCTCGTAAAGTCTTCATCAATTCGCATTTAAGGCAAGCATAAAAAAGCGGGAAGTTGTCCGATTTTCTCCCTGGCTTAATGAGGCAACACGGGACTTGGTCCGGCGACCGACCTCCTTCTTCTTCTTTTGCTCTGCCCCTCCGAACGTTTCGGGTTTTTATGTTTGGCCATAAAATGCGGACAGCTCCTAGCACTGGACGTGGACAAGAGAGCAAGAGGACGAGGAAGTGGTTGTGGATGGGGCTCCATTAATTATGCAATGTCCGACTGGGCCGAAAAAGCCTCAGCAGAGCGACTTTTCCGGGCTTTTCCGCACTTTGTAGCTCGTAATGGGTAACGGATGAGTTGGTGGGGGTGAGTGAACAGGACACACAATTTGCATTTCTCATTGATTTTCCAGTGCATCATTAAAAATGCATTTAACGCAGAGTGGAATACACTTTAAGCATTGTTCTTAATTAATTGTTTCGTGCGGTGAGAGCACAGGCCTTTGCGGTTGGTCAGGCGGCATTTTCCAACCGAGTAAATATAAATGTACGGGTAGTATCTCCCATGATTTTTTTCTCCACTCATAACAGAGACTCGAACTCGAACTCTACCAACTTTTGGCCGCTTCTCTTTTGTTTTTTCTCTAATTAATGAAATGAAAATATTTGCATTTCAACAAAAGGAGGAACGTTGGTGATGTCCTGATGAAAATTAAAAAAGTTTTAACTCTCTCAGAAACACACGAAATATACTAGCTATATATGTTTTATATATATATTTATTTTGAATTTTTTTTTGTTCTCTATTTGCAGAAAGCCGTTAAACCATCGGCAGCAGCGCCCGCATCGCCAACATCCTTGGGCTCTCGGGATGCAATCTATATTGATGATGATACCATTGAGGGCTCCGGCGGACGTGGCGGGGTAAGTTGATCATCCTTTTTCACATATAAATTAGTTAATTAAATTTGTATCACGCTCAAAAGGAGTTTTGCCTTGTTAATTCAGTAAACTGATCACAAAAGTGGGGAATTTTTTTGGCCATTTGCATATTAGGAGAGTTTGCAGGATTCTTTCACTTGCCAAAGTTTATGTAAACATGGCTTTTTTATGAATATTTTAATTTTTGCAATTCAGAGTTTTATTTTTACCTCTTTTGGGAGGAGTTTGCAGCTGAAGTTTTAAAGGAAGTTTGTGTATTTTTAGGTATTAACAGAAAAATGTGAAAAAATCTCAATAGATTAGAGATTCTAGGCAAGCTGGTAGTTTTTAATTTTTTAAATACTTAAATCTGTGTTTTTGCTGAAAAAAACTTAAGGATTTACCGATTTTATGGAGAATAATTGAGGAGAATAAAGGTTTATGTAGATAGATTGAACATTTTTTTTGTTTCCAGATCTTAAATTTTATTTTTAGCAAATTTCGAACAACTTAGAAATGTTTTTTAATTATAAAAAAATATTATAAAACATTTTAGTAAACACCTTTTTTAAACTTTATTGAAATATGTACATAAAAACATTCAATTTATTGATTCACCGTATCAGGCATAATATTCAATTTAATATCCCCCAGTTTAAACCGCAATTTTATTAGGCAATTCTGTCTGGCTTATAGCTCCCCTTTATTACCATGCATTTTTATGGCCGGAAATAACAGGATTGCAAAAAGTGTGGAAACATATATGAACCATATATATGTATATATATGCAAAAGTTGGGGCCAAAAGCTTGTTACGCAATCAAAACTTGACGTTGGAAAAACTCATTTGTTTATGCGCATGAAATGTTAATGTTCAACACCTTTTTTTTTTCCTAGCTATGAGTGTGAAATGTGTGCAAGTTTTTTTATTTAATTCTCTGGTTTTTTTTCCTGTAAAATGTATGTGCATTTGGCATGTGAGCGACATTTGTTTGAAAGTTTTTTGACATCACTGGGCTGCTTGTTCCGCTCAGGACGCGTCAATTGTTGAACCACACACACACACACTCATACGCTCACTTCCGCTTACTCATACTTGTGTGCACACGAAGAAAAAAAAAAACTAATTAAAATGCGTGGCTGACATTGCGGCGGCACAAAAAAAAAAAAAGGAAAATACATTCCCCAAGCGAGTAGAAGTAAAAATAGAAAAAGTTTAATTAAATTCTTTGGCTTTTTCGCTTGTTTTCCTTGGCTCGTTTTGGTTTCCGATTTCTTTCCTATTGCCGCGCGAATTTAATTAAACATTTTGTGCTCTTTTGATGGGTGGGAGGATTCCACCCAAAAACAAAAAAAGTAAAGGGGCAAAGAAGGACCAACATAAATAGAAAATTGAGAGAAACTTTTTCGCGGAATTCAATCAGCAAACTTGTGCATGCGGGGGACGTTGCATACTTTATCGAGCCACTGTGACTAGATCAACAACAGTCGTATCCCCTCAAAAAGCTATTGACTTAGGCATTAATTTTGTATGGAAACTGTGAAACTGTCCAGGACATTCAGCCTGGTTGAAATAAGTAAATAAAAGTCCTTTGAAAGGGATTTCATTTTCAAGCTCAAGGAAAAAAGAGGTATTTTTGTTATGGTTAAAACAAGCCATATAAATTATAAGACTCTTTTAGCTACCTGAAAGTTTGTCCTTAAAAATATATAAAATATAAAAAGTAAAGAAAAATATATATGAATTTTTAAACCCCGCCATTTAGGGTATTTCAAGCCCTGTTCCCTGATTTCCTGTTTTTTTTTCTAAACTTTTTTCTAGTTTTCTTTAAAAAAGCCACTGTGGCATTTTCTAATTTCCCTTAAATCCCCAGTCTTCCCCATCCCCTAAACCCCATCCCCGTTGTACAATCTCCGCTAGCCGTTTCTGTTCCGCTTTTTGCACCATTTCCGCTGCGGTGGTCCTTCTCCTGGCATGATGTCCTCTTGCTCCTGTCCGTCCGAATGTGTTGGCATTTTTATGTTTTATGCAACTGACAAACGTAAAAGCGTCTCCCATGTGCTGGATGTCCTTTCATGCCAGCTCCTTTATTCTGTTTTTTTTCACATTCCCTACTAATTCTATCTCCTTTTCCAGTGTTTTTTCTCTCTCTCTCAAAAAAAGAGCAAAGTAAATGCAATTTATTATGCGCTCTGCTGATCTTTTGGGCCAACTACGGCTACTTGGACTCTTTAAAGTGATTAGGCTAGTGGCTTGATGGATTCCCGTGGTCCGTTGAGTCATCCATCCATTTCCTTCTCCTGGGGGATTCATTATTGTATTATTAATGGTTGCCCGTTGTTTCTAGCTCGCTGACTGAATTATGATAGATTCACAGATTATTCAGTCAGAGTTCTAATATGTCATTCTACTTGGCTCGCAGTTAATCAACGCCGCATGTGATGATTAATGATAGTCCCTAACTCGACGATGGATCGGGGAAATCTGTTCTTGTCTGGCAGACATATCTACTTAAGGGTTTCTGAGGTTTAAGCTTTAAAGTTACGTCCCTTTTGTTGGTGTGCCTAAGCGCCTGTTTAAGCCAATTTTTGTGGGACGTGTCAACAAGATAATGAACTTTTGTTGTGCACTTTTCGAAGGTGCATACGTTATATGTATGTACGCATACATGTGTATGCAAACATATGCATATGAGGCTTTTGACTGGAATTCGGTTTGTTTGTATGTAATAAGCTGCATGCCATGCACGCAGCCAACAGCTCAGCACCACTGAGCACACACACAAGTGCAGAGAGAGAAAAAAAGACGTGAAATTGTAATAAAAATGTACAACAAAAAAAAATTGTAGGTTAAAGGCATAAATCAATCTGGATTTACATTATTATTCAGTATTTTATAGAAGTTGTAATTTAAATACTCTATTTCATATAAAAAAAATGGTCACACTAAGCTCAGCTAGCCAAAAAAAAATTTAAAACGATGTAAGTAGACATTTCTAAAGAAAATGTATGTTAAAATCAAACTAAGTTTATATTATTTCAACTTAAATTTTCAAATTCAGCCTCTAATTAATTTCCCTAAATAAAATCCCTATATTTCTCTCAGTGCACTAGCACACACACTCTCACGCAAATGTGTCCCATTGCATTTTGCGGAATGGACAAAGCCGGAGAGCGAGCTTGTCGTAGGTCCTTGTTGATTAATAACGTGCACATGGCGCACGTGTTTTTGTGGATGGCCAAGAGGAAAAGCCTTTTTGCATAACACATACACCATACACACATAGCACACTCTTGCACGTAAGCCCCTGCATTGGTATTCGTGTCGCATAGAGAGAAATGCGCATTGACAATAAATTAACATCGATTGACATGGCTAGCAGGGAATAATGGATAATGGAACAGGCCAGAGCAGGAGAAGGAGGATGAGGATGAAAAAGGTGGCCGTTAGCAGGGCTCCTGCCCGAAAAAGTGTGCCACAGAATGTGTGTTGTGTAAACAGGCAATCCCAAACAACTTTGATGATGTGGTTTTGTGGTAGTTCGAAATATGCTGTCCATAGCTTCCAGCCTGTAAGCCCTGTATCCTGCTGGAACCAGGATACAGCATCCACTAACCAGTATCCCGACGCTTGCCGCCTCCTCTGTGCCTGTACTTAAGTACGTGCATATAATTTCCAACGCTACGTTGTCGTACTCAAGCTGTCAATATCAGTTGCTTACATGGGAATTTATTGGTGACAGCTCCACATAATACATAATGCATGCCCAACTCCCCCCCCACGCACACACACACTCGCACACTCCTGTCAACTGTTAGAAAATGGGGGTTCTTAACCGATAGACATTGAAATTTATTGAGATTGTATGTGTCTGTCGCAAATGAGTTTATGGGCCATGCCATGATTCCCCTAGAAAAATCCCAACCAGACTTTTTAATGCCCAAGAAGGATGTGTGTGTGAAGGGGGTAAAAAGTTGTGTTTGTGTGTGTGTGTGCGACACATCCTATCCTATCCAGTGCCTTGCATTCATTACTCAATGTCGTTCTGCTTTTGGCTAGCAGCATGCGAGTATACAAATGATGCTGCATTATTTCACATAACATAATTCCCCCTTCGCGCCAAAGGAAAAGTCAAATGAATCCCTCTATAAACCGGGGTAACAGCACCCAAAACAACATCAGTAATCCGAGGCCAAGCTGAGGGGCCAAACTGTTTTTCGCCTATGGAAGGAAGGATGGCTGTCTGCTAGCTCCTTTTTATGAGACATCTGTCGCTGTCTGTTTTGTGGGTTATTGCGCATACGCCACGTTGCCGCAGGCAAGCCCTGAATGCCTATTGAATTAAACACCCCAAGCACGACCTATAAGAGACCAGCTTTTAGTTGGTAATGGGATACCCTTCAAAGGATGGTTTTTTTTTCTATAAAGGTAAAGGCGTCGTTTCTAATAAACAGCTCATTTGGGCAGTAAATAATTATGAGAGATTAGAAAAGGTTAAAACAAGTTAAGCCTAGGTAATACTTTGATTTTTTCTGAATTTGTTGTATAAATTCCTCTACTTTATATATTTTTAATTTTTTTAATTGATTTGTATAAAATTCTTTAACTTTATTTCCCAGAGTTTGCATTTTGAAGAATATTTATTGCCTTCACTCGACTGTAAACTTATTTTCATCTTACTTTGCACTCTAATTGATATTCCATTTATGGCAAATAAATATTAAAATTCATTATTCCTCCTCTGTTGCAAACTAGCTCAGTTATTTTAGCCCTCACTTCACTTAGTTGTGCAATCAAGAGATTTTATTTTGCCGCTATTTACTTGGCAAATGTAAACTGAGAGCCAAAGTTGCCATATCACCTCGCATAACAAAGGAATTCAGCTTTTGGCAGCAGTGCTCAGCATTGTAACAACAATAACAGAATCGAGAACATCAGAATAGAAGGTTGTGCCTGTGCCATTCGCATACAAATGCGTAAACACAGACAGTCAGGGGAGGGG